TTTCGCATAAAAACTCCTCGAAAATGGGAAATTTTCATTTCTTTAGCATATTAAGTAAATCTAGATCTGTAAGTGCTCGTTGAGGCAGCTTTAAACTTTTTTTTTCTACATCGCCTCTTAATACCTTGTCCTTTAACGTATGGTTTCAAATGAAGTCCCAATCCTTGTCGGTATGGTTTTAAATGTAGACCTTTGCCAAGTGCCACTGCTTCCAACTCTCTATTATGACGCTGAGCTTCCTTCAACTGCTCTTTTGCTGCACTTGCATCATTAACAGCTTTTGCTACACCAGCAGCTCCCCCAGTAAGCGCTCCAAGTGCACTTAGACCAGCAAAAATTGGAATTAATGGTAACAGACCACCAACTTTTGATGGAACAGGTAGAATTCGAGGTGTTAAAACCTTTTCTCTACCACCTGCTTTCCTTACAGCTTTTCGAGCTGTTTCAATAGCTGACTTTATTGTTGATCGAGCATCATTACCAGGAATTATTGATTTTCTTGCAGCATCCACAATTTTTCTAAGATTACTCGTGTTTTTTGATTTTGTCTTCTTTACCTCGTTTCTTTGACTTGGTCTTCTTCTTTACTCCCATTCCAAATTTTGATTTTGCTTTCATAGCGTTTGTTATTGCGTAAGCTGCAGCTCTTTCACTATATTGTGCGTCTGGAGCAAATACACGTTGCCACGCTTTGTCAGCTAATACTCTATCAGCAGCGTTTCTTTCTTCAACGTTTTCTCGATTTTTCGAGTAAGCAATATCGTGCTCTTTACAAGCGGCGTCTAATGGATTAACACCTGGATCACCTCGGTCTAGACGTTTTGCTAACTTTGTGCCTGGTCCACAATATTGATAACCTGGCAAATGTAATTCAAATGGTAACTTGTTTATAAGATTATTAATTAACCCTTTTCCTTGAGAGCGATGATGTATAATCATACCTTACTCTGTGAAAGTTAAAATTAGAATGACTTGTTGAGCTATATAAGCGCTGTATTTATACCTTTAGCGGCAGTCTAAATCAGAATGCGGTTCAAGGAACAACTTCACAAGCTGCCAGTCGTCAATCTAGACTCGATTGTCGAACAACAAGAGAAGAAAGTGAAGCGTCATGGTAGTTTATTTTCCGGTAGTATTCGAGCTATTTTTTGTGGACCATCAAATTGTGGAAAGACAATGTACTCCTTCTTTAATTTTACATCCTAATGGTCTTAGATTTGATAATATTTACTTATACTCAAAGTCTTTACATCAACCCAAGTATAAATTCTTGGAACAAGTTGTTAATAATGTTGAAGGAGTAGAGTATTTACCATTTAGTGAGCATGAAGAAGTCATTACTCCTAAAGATGCAAAACGAAATTCAATATTTATATTTGATGATATTGCTTGCGAGAAGCAAGATAATGTAAGGGCATTCTTTTGCATAGGTAGACATGTTGATGTTGATTCTTCTTATCTTTGTCAAACATATGCCCGCGTTCCTAAACATTTGGTACGTGATAATGTTAATTTACTAGTTCTTTTTCGTCAAGATGAGAAAAATTTAAGGCATGTTTATGATGATCATGTTAATACTGACATGACATTTAATCAATTTCGAGAACTATGTTCAACATGTTGGAATTCAGACAAATATGGATTTGTAGTAATTGATAAGGATTCTGATTTAAATGATGGAAGGTATAGAAAAGGATTTGATAGCTTTGTAACACTATAAATATAGGATCATCCCTAAAATATTGTTAGTTCAATATGAAACCTTGTAATAATAACATGTTTCATAAAGAAAAAGAATATCTTCATCAAATTGCTAAAGCTAGCGAGGCAATTAGGCGAAAACATCGTATGTTAAAATTAGGAAAAGAAGAAGCTGAAAATGTGCTGACTGAAACTATTAAACCGATAGTTCAACCCTTACAAAAAATTATTAACTTGACAGACACTGAACATGAAAATATCAAGATTGAAAAGAAAGAGCAGAAGATGGATGATAGCATATACTTTGAAAGTGAAACTGAAAAATCTCCAGATGATGATAAAATAAGTAATAAATTTCTATACTTATTAAATCATAATAGAAAGCAATGTTTAGATTCAACATACGGCATACGTAAGCTAAGTGATGGATCACTTATGATTGGTGATTCACCAATAACTCTTGAAGATCAGCATGTAAAAATTGGTAATAAACGATATCTTCAAACGCTTGGATTACTTGAACTTTTATTTAAAAGTAAACCTACTACATCACTTATAAGTGAAGATGATGAAAGAAACTATAAAGAGATTCTGATTGCTACTAATGCACACAAAAAGAAGTATAGTTCCTCTGAATCTATACGTACGGATAAGAGTTACAAGTATTTGAATTTTATATCTCAATTCTTCCCTCGAACACCTACCAATTTTCAACGAGAATATATCTATTGGGATGATCCAAATGAGTTGGTTGACCGTCTTAGACTATTAATGGCTTCTCAAGCTGCTGGAAATCCTAGTCACAATAATGAAATCATGTCTATCATTGAGGAACTACGTGAAGCTAAAATTATATATTAAGATGTGTTTTAGCAAATATCATTCATTTCAACAATGAGCATTGACGTGTTCGGACATCCTCTCAATCAAAGAGGAACAGCAAGACGAGGGCCTCCTGGAGTTGGTTTTAAACTTAATTCTCAAGGTAACTTTGACGTTGAAGGAAGAAAACTCTCTAATCTTGCTAACGCTGAAGAAGAAAACGACGCTGTCAATTTAAAACTTGTACGACATATGATAAAACACGAAGTGCGTTTATTGTATGAAGCTAGTGCCTCACTTAGATCAGAGGTGGACAATAACAACTTATTTCTAAAAGTTCTTGAAGACTCTATTACAGAAAAAATAAAAAATTTTGAAAAAGATATAAATGAAGACTTATCTTATTGAACAGCTGAAATTATTAGTGAATTGGATACTCGCTTAAGTGCTCTCGAGAATGAACAACAAAAAATTAACAGTAGTGAATGAACTTCATACCCAGGCTAGAAAAAATTATCCTCGACGGCGAGTTGAAATGCGTGATATTGATGAGACATGGCAAGCAGATTTAGTAGAAATGATACCTTATTCAAGAATAAATAAAGGTTTCAAGTATTTACTAACAGTTATAGACATATTTTCGAAATATGCTTGGGCTGTTCCAGTAAAAAGTAAAAATGGAAAAGATGTTTCTCATGCAATGCAATCTATATTTGCTAAAAAACGCATACCAAAAAACTTGCATAGTGACAAAGGAAAAGAATTCTATAACTCACAATTTAAAGCATTAATGAAAAAGCATAAAATAAATTTTTACTCAACATACAGTAATATGAAAGCTTCCATTGTTGAACGGTTTAATCGAACACTAAAAAGAAAAATGTGGATGCAATTTAGTTTACGAGGAAACTACAAGTGGTATGATATATTGCCTACTCTTATTTCCAACTACAATAATACCAAACATAGAACAATTGGAATGAAGCCTAAAGATGTTACTTCAGAAGACGTTGAAATTTTAAAAGAAAGGATCTCTAAACTGAGAAAAATTCCTTTAAGACGACCAAAGTATAAAATTGGTGACAAAGTTCGAGTAAGCAAATATAAAAACGTTTTCGAGAAAGGATATACACCCAATTGGACAACAGAAATATTCACCGTGGATCAAGTTGTATCAACTCAACCAGTGACTTACAAGCTCAAGGATTACCAGGATCAACCCATCAGCGGAGGATTTTATGAAGAGGAACTTCTTAAAGTAAAATATTCAGATATTTATCTTGTGGAAAAAATTCTCAAGACACGTGGAAACAAAGTTCTTGTCAAATGGCTTGGCTTTGATAATTCTCACAATACGTGGGAAGATAAAGCAAATGTATAATCTATTATTCGCAAATCGCCCCCAGTAACTTAACGCAAATGTCAATCAACCAGCAAATCAATCAAAGATTAATGTTAGCGTAGAACCTCTCTATAAATCAAAACTACTTCCAACAACAGACCTTTACACTGCCAGTGCCAAATTTAATTAACATTAAATCAATAATGAATCATTAATGAATCAACAATGAATCAATAATGAATCAACAATGAATCATTAATGAATCAACAATGAATCATTAATGAATCAATAATGAATCAATAATAAATCAATAATGAATCAACAATGAATCAATAATGAATCAATATTAAATCAGTTGGCACTGGCATTGTAAAGGTCTGCTGTTGGAAGTAGTTTTGATTTATAAAGAGATTCTACGCTAACATTAATCTTTGATTGCTTTGCTGGCTGATTGGCATTTGCGTTAAGTTACTGGGGGCGATTTGCACATTTAAATTATATTACATTAATATAAGTTTTAATCATGTTATTATGTATATATGGAAGGATTTTTTAAATAAAAACACATGGAAATTGTATATAATTGCATTATTTATTAACAAACCTTTTATTTTTTTTTACAATCATATTTTACAAAATCATTCGTCGATTTTAGGGATCGCATAATGTCCCCACGGTAGAGTGTCAGTACTCCCCGGTAACAAATATCGTTTGTCGTCTTGCGGACTTAAGGCTACTTTTATCTGTTTTACAGTTTCGACATTGTGTAACCGCGATCTAATGTTATATTGCGTTCGAGTTTGAATGTCAAAATCTCTCAGACATTTTACATAATCATCAAAGTGAATACTCTTTTTAACAACACCGGATTTAATACCTTTAGCTTTTTTAATAAAATCTTGACCTTCAACCCGTACGCTGTACATCTTACTCCGCAAGCCAACAAATTCGGTAACGATCTTGCCGTTACATTCGTCTTTCATTAGACCGAGAATCTTTTTGTTGGCTTGCGGAATGCCGTACACGTTGTTTGCGGGATAGTCTGACGTATCGAACTTTTGGATGTCATTTTTCATGTCATTGTAGATATCTTTACATTTAATTTCGTAGATTAGACTGTCTGTATCGGTATACATCAGTTTACAATTGTCGCCGTATTTTTTAACATATACCCGTAGTGAAAATCGTAGATTAGCGTTTTGGATACATCAAGCACACTTAACCCCACATAGATTGGTTTGTTGAGTAGTACCTCGGTTTTACACAGTTCAATGGCAACCAGATTTTTGTCGAATATCGCTCGACTATGGAAATTCGGGCGAGAAATAAGGGCTTCAGCTCCATAGCGGCCAAACCATTGGGTGACAAGCTTAATGTCGACATGTTTACGGACATTTTCCATTGTTTTACCGTATACCGCATTGTTCATGAGCTTGAACAAATTTTTCTCGAACTCATTCTTGGCGTTGGTTCGCATCATCGTATTATAGTCTATATATGGTTTAAGCCATGTTGATTGCTTAAACTGTAAGACTCGATGAATTTTAACAAGCTTAATGCCGTTGGCGACAACTTGTTTTAAAGTGCGGTAGTGGATCACATATTTTTCTTTTGGTTGGAGAGTTGTTAATAATTTCTCCTGTTTCGAGAGGGGTGGTTTCGCATTTTCTGCGCAAAATGGCATATCTTTGTGAGTATCGTGGAGATTTTCAGGATACTCCAAGTCAACTTCGAGTATGTACCCAACAGGTGAATCGTCAGGCACATTAAAATCGAAGGAGTTGTCGACATTATCAACCCATTTGAAGCCGCCATAAGGGAGCGCTTGAGCCATTGCCCAGCCATATAGATTATTGGCATCGAAGTACATAATATAGCTTGTATCTTCATTTTTGTCAAATTTCTCCATATACGGATTATTTGCTTTAGTATATCGGTTGCAACATTGGCTAACGCCACCTCTAATACCAGACTTAACAAACATAATCATATCGATATCGGTTATTAGTTGCAATCCTATGCTCGTGTACTTGAGCATAGCATCCCAAGTTAAACCGGGGGTTGTGTAGTAGTGGGCAGGATCTAAACCATACGCTTTTACACATTCTACTCGGAAATTTTCAAAGACGTCCGCAAGTAACAATACATCGGTTTTCATATACAAATGGACATAGTCATATAGATTTTTACAGTCAAACTCGGTCCATACATTTTGCGCATGCGCATACTCGTCATCAGAAATACCGGCATCATAAAGCGTACTATAAAATTTCTCGATCGGGGGCAATTCTGTCTCATCTAACTTACTTTTCGAGTCAAAGTACTCATAAGGGAATACACCCTTGCGCGTCAATAATTTAATTTTTTCCGGATCTGTCACCGTACTAGGTACGATGCGAGTTTCTCTAGGGATGCTGCCATAAATCGCAATGAGTCAATGAATCGAAATTTGACCTCACTCCCCTTGACATGTTTAGTAAAAGAGATATACTTCTCTTTGTTAATGGGGAGGAGGTCAATTTTTCCTTCAAAGCTCGTCGAAATCGCGTGAATTATAAAATGGGCGTCATAGCCACTTAGGTTGTGAAATACTACGGGGATCGTTTGACAATCTTGATAGTTTAGATTGCACGATTCATGGGCAGCACCCCTATATTTGCCAGTAAGGTGACAGTGATCGCGGACTTTCTTTTCGCTTGCCGGTATTTTCTGATGACAAATGTGACAGATTGTCGCTCGCTTAAAATCATTGATTTCTTGAGGAGTTAATGCAGTCATCGGTAACGGATTTTTAAAAACTTTATTCATTTTCTCTGCAATCTGCTTTAACTTCTCAGCAAACCATTTCGCAGGGTCAGATTCATTTTTCGGACACGGTACATATTTACATAATGATTCGTCGTAGCTACATTTGATATAATATCCGATGCATAACAATTTGTGACGCTGGAAGACTTCAGTCTTACTTAAATTGTCTACATCTTCATCCGCTGGAAGAAGTAGACTTTCACAGTCGGCGTAAATTACATATGGCACCTTTTCTTTGTTCTTAAAATTTTTAAATGTGATCAGACTCTTGTCAGGCGTCGGTAATTTAATTTTACACTCATTCATTTTTTTACAATTTTCGAGATGTACATTCAGTCTATCTACAGATGAAAAGTAGTGTAAGCATCTGTCACAGATATGTTTTTTACATTTCTTTTTAGATAATTGTTTCGATACAAGTCGCGATAGATCTTTTATCCATACATAATGAAAATTCATAAAATCACCTTCATCACATATTACATTCTCCTCAACACTCTCATCTGCATACATGTCAGCTACGTATAAGAGATTCACATGTTTATCTCTTTTTTCAGCAGAGAGATGAAGGGGATGTGTTGTAAAGTCCCCATAATATTTTGATAAACCATAGACGTTAATCGAAATATTATTTAACTTTTCAAATTTTGAGACATTTTTCAACGTTACTGGGAAATCTATACCGTCAAAATTTAACTCATTTTCAAATTCTTTATAATTCGAAACTCGATCATTTCTCACTACATTTGGGTGTAAGGCTGAGAGTACCGCCCACTTAAAACACTCATTATCTTTGTTTTGCACGTTAATACAGGCTTGTTTTCTTTTAATTTGTGAGGGTAGATCAATGTATGAGCTCGCACGCATCGGATTATACTTATTTACATTGATTTCAAGCTTTATAATTGACTGTAGGTTCCAATTTGAACCTTTGGCGTAAAACTCTTCAACACTATGTAGAATCGGCTGTTTAATGTACTGCTCGAACCAATCATCTAAAAGGGTCGTAGGGAAGATGTTGTTGGCCTTGGTTCCAAAAGGAATCGGCTTTACAACTTCTTCGTCATTCTCCACCCTCTTGAAGTTTGCGATAAGTACGCCGTACACGACGATGGGTCCATTCTTATTTAAAGCACCTCTAATATGGTCTTGAAACAGTGTGGACCCATCGTCTAAAAACGCGCTTATATCAATGTGTACAAGATTTAGAATTACATTAGTGTACAGTCTACACGCAAACGCACTCTCACATTCTTCCCAGCGCACACGTTTATTTATATCTGGATCACCGATTCCAGCGCCATCTACAATATGGGACTCAAATAATGCGCGAAGTCTAATGATGGATTGTAGAATGCTCACACATCTTTTCTTTTGATGTGTAAAGTACATCGACTTGAGAATGCTCGATAACACGTTTTCATGTTGTGAGCATTCTACAATCCATCTCCCAACGAATGAACGTCTTAAATTGACGTCGTCTAAAAGAGGAATCAACTCTAGAGCCTCCTGGATAAGAGTAATAGTTACGTCACTCTCGTCGAGAATAGTACCGTAATTCGGATACTTACGTGGTGGTCCATCGGTGGTCGTCGCCTTCCGCTTCATCTCTGCACCTGAAATTACACTTACAAACTAACAAAAAAGAATAAAGAACACACTTACAAGCTAACAAAAGAACACACTTACAAACTAAAAAAAGAACACACTTACAAACTAACAAAAGAATGAACTTACAAACTAAAATACTTATACTAAACAAAACGAACTTACAAACTAAAGAACTTAACCTACAAACTAATACAAAGTAAATGCAATAAACACAGTAAATGTAACAAAAAAGACAGTAAATATAACAAAAAGACAGTAAATATAACAAAAAAGACAATTAGTAATGGCAAGGGGAATCTGCTGATGCTGCTGCTGCTGTTGGAACCGCTGAATCTGTGAACAGAACAGCTACTGACTAAACTCGCCAAAATCCCTGAATATATACCCCGAAATCCCCACTCCTACCTTTCACGCATGCGCACTAGACCATTTACCCTCACTCCAACCTATCACGCATCCCTACTCTTAAATTTTCCCCCACCTATTCACGCATGCGCAACACTCTTACTCTAACGCAGTCGTAACAATTTCTATACAGGATACGCAAAATAAATATACTAATTTACAAAAAAATAAAAAATTTATTGATTATTAAAAATAAAATTCAGAGTTAAATTTAAAGTTACGCGCCGCCGTCGATGGCAGCGACGCCGACCGTGAGCGGGCGGTGGCTGCGCCTCTGGTGGAGGTCCCGACGGCTCTCTCTCCTCTACCCTGGGCTCGGGAGACTGCGCCCTGGGTATCGGTGACCTACACCGTGGCGGACTTCCTGGCGGGGTTGTAGGCAACCATTCCACCGGTGTAGGCGACCTGGGTGGAGTCCCCAACTGAATGAAGGGTGGGGAGACTCCGGTTCTCTCTTTGGTTGAGGTGTCAGTGACCTGGACAGTGGTGTCGGCGGCCTCTCCACCAGCATCCACGGCGGTGAAAATGGACGCCACTGGAGTGCCATCTGATGCAGAGGTGACAGCTCTGGCGACGGAGGTTGACGTTGGCAGAACCCTCTGGGTGGTGACCCTGGTGGTGTTTTGGGCAGCGGTACTTCGTTACCTTCATTCTGTAACTAAAGAAAGTATACTGTACTATACTATTTTATAGTATATTATATTATACTTACATTGTACATGGAGACCTTCCTCATGGTGCACTCGTAGCAGTTACAGCTCTCCATCGTCGACCGCTCTATGCCTCTCCGCGATCTGGAATGAGCTCTCTACTGCGTGCTAGTCACCCTCGTAGGTCTCTCTCCCCGCCAAGCGGTTCCCCCACTACGCGCGCTCACCACTCTGCTACATGTGGTGGTTGACTCGAACTACTGTGAGCTCACCGCTGATAACAAGCTCACCGCTGATAACAAGCTCACCGCCGGTAACGCGCGAATTTTAAATTGAAATATTTTTTCTTATATTTATAATAAATTAATTCATAACTAATTTGGATCCAGTAAATTATGCACATAATATTATAAAATAGTTTTGAATAATATGTAGTAACAAATATTAAATAAACTACAAACAGTATTATATATAACATATAAATACTAAAAAATTATTAGAAATTATTAAACTTACCTTAATTAAGTCAAGTAGATTATATTAAATAAAAACTTTTTTTATAAATATAAATTCATTAACTTAAATAAAGTCTAATTTTATTAAATTTGAAGTAAAAATTAAGTGAATAAAAAATTTAAGGTAGTGAAAGTTAGATTTAATTGTTATAAGTGAAATTTAAATATTATATCAATTTTAAATTACAGACAAATCAATATTAAATTAACGTGAAGCTAATAATAAAATAAACAAAAAAAAAGAAAATAAATATAACACATGTAAAATAATATATAACATACGCAAAATGAAAATATAATATATGTTAATTAAAAATATAATATATGAAAAATATATTCAGAATAAAAATATAGCACATGCAAAATAATGTACATAACACAGTTAATTAGAAAAAAATAATTGTTTACTTTCATAAAATTGAAAAATATATATAAAACATAAAAAAGCTTTTCATTATATATATATATATATATATGTAATTTCACTATATATAATATTGCAATTTAAAACAAGTATAATAATCATATTACAATAATCAGACTAATACATTTTAAAAATGTAACAAAATGTTTTCTAAAATATAAAAAAATAAAATAAAAAAAATAATGAATAGAAAATTACAGTATATAACTAATACCGTTAAAGTACATAACCACACAAAAATAAATAAAAAAAATATCAAGTATAATATATAAATATTGAAAATTAAGACAGTATCAAGCAATAAAAAAAAGTAAACAAAAAAAATGAATAATAAAAATGTTTCAAATCGGAAAGTACTTTAACGGTATTAGTTATTTGAAAAAGTTTCTCTTACTTGAGAAATTCACTTCAAGCAAAGTTGAAAATAAAAAATGAATGGTTACTTTGCTACATACTTTAAACATAAAAGAAAATTTTCTAAAAATAATGAAAAAAATAAAACAAAAAAATAATGAATAGAAAATTATAGTATATAACTAATATCGTTAATGTACATAACCACAAAGAAATATATAAAAATATTAACTATAATATATAAATATTGAAAATTAAGACAGTATCAAGCAATAAAAAAAGTTAACAAAAAAAAATGAATAATAAAAATGTTTAAAAATCGGAAAGTACATTAACGATATTAGTTATTTGAAAAAGTTTCTCTTACTTGAGAAATTCACTTCAAGCAAAGTTGAAAATAGAAATGAATGGTTACTTTGCTACATACTTTAAACATAAAAGAAAATTTTCTAAAAATAATGAAAAAAATAAAACAAAAAATAGCAAAGTTGAAAATAAAAATGAATGGTTACTTTGCTACATACTTTAAACATAATAGAAAATTTTCTAAAAATAATGAAAAAAAATAAAACAAAAAACTAATGAATAGAAAATTAACTCCTCTTTTTCGAGGATGCGGTTGCCAAGACTCTCTCTGCCTTTGACAAGCGTCGACATTTATTTTTTCGAAGAGGATGAGCATTGATTTGAATCGTACGTCTAGGAGTTGGCACTGGTGGCAATTGTCGTTGTGCTGGCACTGGTTGAGCTCTCGGAGCTGGCACTGGTGGCAATTGTCGTGGCGCTGGTACTGCTGGAGCTCTCGGAGCTGGCACTGGTGGCAATTTTCGGAGAATTCGTGTAATCCGGCGTCGTGGCGCTGGTACTGCTGGAGCTCTCGGAGCTGGCACTGGTTGAGCTTTCGGAGTTTGCACTGGTGGCAATTGTCGTGGCGCTAATACTGCTGGAGCTCTCAGAGTTGGCACTTTTGGCAATTGTCGTGGAATGTGCGCAATCCGGCGTCGTGGCGCTGGTAGTGGTACTTCTTCCAGTATGGGTAGTTTTTGGTCTATCAGACCAACCGGTGGCGTTCTAATAATTAATGCTGGCTGAGTGCGGGTGCGGATATAATTTCCTGCAGCCTCAGTTAAATCATTGACAAATGGAATGGGTTGGTTTGGAGCGATTATAACCTCCTGTTTTAATTCCTCCATTGGCCTTATGATATCATCCTGACCTATTGGTATTGGGATATCATCTAGGATGATATCCTCCAACAGAATATCATCCATCCCAAGTACCTCCTCTATGAGATTTTCCGGAATTTCTCCTAAAGGATTGACTGCAGGGAGCTGATCCCACCTGCTTTGTGGTTTGATAAATAGATCTGGACGTTCTGGATCATAAATTTCATTTTTCATTTTTTCCAGATCTATATTTATTTGATTCTGAAAATTATACACTGAAAAAAAAAAAGTATTGAACCAAGAAAATTTTTCTTGGTTGAAGCAAATCGTGGGATTGAATACGGCCAAGACTATTAAAGTATTGATTCAAGAAAACGATTTTCTTGACATAGGATATTTGGGAGAAGAACATATATTCTTGATCCAAGAAAATATGGAATTCGACCAAGAAGTTAGTCTTCTTATACGAAGTATGAAATGTATTAAATGAATAAAATATTTTCTTCTTCTAAGAATATATATAGATAATTGAATTATTTTATTTGATTCATTCAATTTTTTGTAACATTCGTTCAAGTAATTCAAGATTTAAATGAAGAAAACATTTATTTTGTGAGAGAACGCAGATATTCTTGATCCAAGAAAATATGGAATTCGATCAAGAAGTTAAGTAGCATGTAAGAAATGCAGAATATATTAATTCAAAATCATTTATGTATCAAATCAAGAAAGTATGTTCTCTGTCCGAGAAAATATTTTCTTGATTTGAGAAAATTTATAGATTTCAATCAAAAAAATACTTTCTCAATACAAGTAAATTATTTACTTAAATTACCCCCCCCCTTACCCCCATCCCATCCCATCTTTTCTAATACTTAGGTCAAACATTTTTATTATTTAATTAATTAACATTTATATTTTTTATTTAAATAATTAAATAATTGTTATTTTACATATATATTTACATTTAATTATTACTTAACACAAATACAACAAATATACCTTGAAAGAAAATTTTCCACGGTCGGAGGAATTGAACTCGGGTTGCACGCACCAGAAGCCGTCACGCTACCACTATGCCATCCTAGCCTCAATGGACAGTTTTCAAAAACTGATATTTAAGTTGCATATACATTTGAAGAAAAATATTTTCTTGGATCAAGAACACCGGCATTGTGTTAAGTAAAAAAAAGTTTCAAAGCAAATAAATAAAATGATTCGATTCAAGAAACATGAATTCTCCACACAATACTTTATTATTTTGCTTAAGAACATGATATTCTAGATTCAATACTTTTTGGTACTTCGGAAAAGTAAAATATTTGGTTGAAATAATTACATATTGAGTTCTGCCAAATACTAAATTGTTAATTCAAGAATTCTGTTCAATGCTAATATTTACTTGACACAAGAAAATGAATTTCTTTCTTCAAATAAATATGGGATTAATTGAATATAATTTTTAATCAACTTGAAACAAATA